AAACAAGTGATTATTTTAAAATTTAGCATTTTTTAACCAACCACGCTCTCGTTGATTTCAGCCGGAATTTACCCATTTATTCCTCCTCGTTGATTTCAACGGATTCTCTCTATTTATTATCCCCCACTAAATTATACTATAGTTTCCCCTAATTATTACCCTCGTCATGACCTTGTTGTATATTAAGTGTGCGTACAGGTAATTGAGTGGCGTGTGGTGAAGGCAGTCCAATGGTAGCCTAAATACCACAGATATTTGACCAACTACGGTACAGGCAAGTGCGGTTCGGTGCAATTATTTATGGCATAGTCATTGGACCGGCATTCGTGAAACTCGTCGGAGTCCGGTATTATTGTTTTTTGTACATATAGTGGTTCAACACTGGCACCGTACTGGGACAGCATGCTGCAGGCCGACCCTGTTAAATTTTGGTACGGTTATAGGGAACCCGCAAACCAGTCGACCACCTGAAATAAAAGGAATTGGACCCTCAATCGAACGCCCAATTAAGATTTTTCGGGTACTCTTGTTGGGACTGTCGGCGATATTTAGGGGTCCTAAGATGAACTCTGAAAACCCCTGCGTCGACCGTTGGTACTAACCTTAAATTTGGTAACTTGGAGGGTCGTGTCTACCAGGCTTGACGCCTACTTTTTTCGTCAGTTATGAGGTTGTCTTCGAATTGGCCAGCCACGGAACGAGGATGTGCTAGTAGGCCTTCGTGTGGTCTTTTCCATGCTGACCTGTTGACGAGGGAACGAAATTCAAATTTTGTTTAATTTACTGGTGGAATTTGTATAGCACACCGAACATGTTCGGAGCTTTTCCAAACATCCTAACATGTTCGGGTGTTCGGCCGAACGCCACCCGAACGTCTTCAACCGAACAAATTCAAAAAAAAAAAAAAAAAAAAAAAACTTTATTTTTTATTTTTGATTTTTCACTCAAGTTTGGTGATGAATTTGAGCATACCTCCAAGGCAAAAGTTGTTTGTATTATTATTTTACATTACATATATTTGTTTCACATTTTTTGAAGAACTTTTGTTTTTCTTTTTCTTTTTAGTATGTTTATGTTCGCGTTCGGAGAGTTTTGGCGCTCGTTCGTGTTCGGTCCTGAAGGATCACCGAACCCGAATACGATGCTACACAGGGTAGAATTAAAGATGGGTAATAAAATTAAAAATAATAAAAATAAATAAAAACTAGTGATTATCTTATCGTTTAATATTTTTTTTACCAATGATGCTCTCGTTGATTTTAACCAGAATTCACCTATTTAATTCTCCTGTTTGATCTCAACGGTTTTTCCTATTTAAATATTTCTCACTGATTCAAATTGGTTCTATCTAATTATTATGCCTCCTTGATTTTTACCTGATTTTTCCTGCATGGTACCTTTGTTAAAACCCCTCTTATTTTAGAGTGCGTGCGGGTGTGCCATGAGTAATTGAGCAACTACATGCCACTGCAGCTCGAGACGTTTATTTCAATTGCGATTACTGACTCGATATGGGTATCATTCGGCGGTTCAGTACAATCACTTATGGTACGGTGCTGGCCAAGGCACGTTACGTCCGCTGGTCTACACTAACCGGTAGTACTCGGTACTATCAGAATTTGGCATAGACACTAACTCCGCATTGGGTGGCTCACCACGGCGTGACATTATTATTTTTGTGTGGTGACCGATTTGGCACTGACACGACATCGGTGCAGAGACCTACGGTCTGATCCTATCATTTTAGTTGCAGCTGGTTCGACATTTCAGCCACGTACCATGATGCGGTACTATTATCTGGAATGAATACTCGCTTGGAACACTTATGCTGCTTGGTACATCATCGGGTCCGCCCCTTCTGGGATTGCTACGTCACACCCTGGTTAATGGCATTAATCTGATGAGGCCTGCTACAGTGGGGCACATTTTTGATACGGTTTTATCGGGTATTGAATCCATATTTTTGGTAAGGCAGTCGATCCGGGCTGACGAGGCTTACTACAGTGCGCCACGTTCCTTCTGGTCGCCTCAGTCCTTGATTCTCGAGCCGTGTTTGCGTTCGCTATCCTTCCCTGCCCGTGCGCCACGTTCCTTTTGCCACCGTGTATTTATCCGTGGTTTAGCTCGAGAACCATTATCAATTTCGTTTTTTTTCTCCGAGGCAAGATTCTGGTGCGCCAATCAATGAGCAAACAAGAAGGCCAAAGGTAATGCCAGCGAGCACACGCAGAGGAAAAGTGAAACAGTGTGTGTATGTACGAGAGAAAGACGCCTATGCACCAGATCTGAGGAGTGAACAAATGCGCTCAAGATGATGCGTGAGCACATACACACAGACTCGAGTACTTGCACACACTGGCACAACAAACACATGCTTACAGGCCACTTATCGGAGTGCCATGAATGGTTTGGAAGGAGGGGGAAGTCTTAGCATGAATTTCGTTGTGATTAGTGACTTTTGGATGATTACAGACTCACTCCTTGTCGGTTAAACAGAGTTTCCTACTCATGTGAAGTGGGCGCTGCCGCTAGAGCTCATGGATCAATTATTAGTTGACAAATGGGTAGCTTCTGGGTGTGAGACCCCAGCTGGTGGCTTACTCACTGTTATTGGGACGACACGAAATCGATGAGCATTAAACAGGTAAAGAGGAACGTGGGTACGATTGTTTGTCTAGTTCGTTTTTTTGCTCAGGGCTCATTTAACTGAGTGTGGGTGTGCCCTTATGTGTGCGAGTGTGTGGGGAAGAGAGAAGCAGAGAGAGAGAAAGGAAGGGAAAGTGTGCGTAAGTGAGAGAGAAGAGCTGCTACAGGGTGAGGGAAGTAAGACGGCATGTCCTCGAGCGAAAGAGAGTGAGGGGATGATGGGTGCACTAGACAACGGGTGCCGAAATAAGAGGGAAGGAAAGTGAGGGTGAGTGAGGAAAAACTGAAAAGCGAAATCTTCCTCCTATTCTTTGATCTGAATCAGTGGGACTTGGTGGGATTAACCAACGAAGAGCAAAGAGTGTCATCTCCTCTACAGAACCTTTCTGACGAGTGTGCAAGGTTGGACTTTTTTTTTTTTAAGTTTTAAATTTTATTCATTTCATTTTATTTTTTCACGGCATTATGACATAATGATGAAGCGTTGACTGAGTTCCTCCACTTCCAGCTCCAACTGCAGACCAGAACGCATACCCCCAAGGGGAACTTGAAAACGCAGGTTCTGACCGCACGGATTTCGATTCTGTGACCAAACAGTCATAACGCCAGGAGAACACGCCGATGCAATCCTCTTGAATGCACGGTAAATCAACAGGCTTTTGGGGGGAAAGGATGAGGGCAAGGGGAGAACATAGAAGGAGAGAGAGAGAGAGAGAGAAAGAGAGAGAGAGAGAGAGAGAGAGAGAGAGAGAGAGAGANAGAGAGAGAGAGAGAGAGAGAGAGAGAGAGAGAGAGAGAGAGAGAGAGAGAGAGAGAGAGAGAAGAGAGAGAGAGGGAGAGAGAGAAAAGGAAGAGAGGACGGTTACATCATTAGAAGGGTCAGAGAGCAACGACCAAATAGAGATGCGTTGTCATAGCATGGCCATGGGCTAGCGAAAACTCATGATGTTACAAACGTCATTTGCACTGTATACCCACTCTAGATCCGAGTCCCACACAACGGGGTAAATCTTTGCAGGCTATTGTAACCCAATTCATTCACCTCAAGAGTTGGAACATAAATGTGCACGTATCTAACTGACATTGTGCGTTCAGTTCATACACATACACAAGACAATGAATGGCTGGCTAATCAGAGGGACAAATAGTGAAGTTGAAAGAGGTATTTTTTGCCGTCTACCGGTAGACGTTAGGGATTTCTTGTACTCTCAAGATCTGGCAACCGTGGTCTATCAAACACGTGCAGATCCCTTAACTGGCTGATGAATGTAATGTGACATACAACCAGGCACACCTAACGGGCAGGAACATGCTGCTACAACGGATGGTATTGGACTGTCCTCTATTGCGGGAATGCAGATCTGTGGGCCAAAACTCTTCTTTTCTTTCCTATTTGATTTTTCTTGTTTTTTTTGTCATTCAGCTTGCGGACAGATCAATAATTATTAAAAAACAAAATGCTAATTGAAGCGAGTCCACAATTGCATCTAACGAAGCTTGTGGCACGACGTGCGTGAATTTTTGAAGGGATCCTACAAGGGGAGTACAAAATTGTTGGCATACCTCTAGGGTTTCGAGGAAGTTACGTGTGTGGCCCTGCTTATATCAAATTACGGAATAACCCTCCTTGTTTGGACGCTCTGCTCGTGGTTGTTGATAATTGCTATTTTGCCCCTAGTGTCCGACCAAGTTCCCTGCTTAATTTGAGTGAAACAATTTTCATCTATACCCCCTACAGATCTGAGGTCTTGTGAAGACGGTTTTTGAGGAAGTCCGAGCGCTGATTTGAGGTTTGCAGGCCTGGGATTTTTTATTTAATTTTATCCTGTTATAATTTATTTCATTTCATTTTTGCCCATCATCTCTACTTGCGGTAAGAGCCCTCAGACACAACACCTAAGCAGGTGCGTGATAGGTGAATATAACCCCTACTCCCTGTTGCCGCTGAGGACCTCTGAAGTGGGTGCAGTGGATGACAGATTGCCCCTGGCTTCAGCGAGCGGCAAGCGACCCGTCCCCGAGTTTCCTCACATGGTAATGAGTCTGGTTTGGAACTACTACGACTCACTCCGGTTTCGATGATATTATTTTGACACATAATTGGTCCTACGACAGCCTGTTCAAACGGTCATGGGCATGGTATTGGAACCACTTGCTGCTTTTTGTAGTGCTGTTCTAAAGGGTTTACTAGTTTGGAACAGGTGCGACCCCAATTATCTCCGGCCGGTTGAGGCAATGAAGTCGACTCACTGACGGGCTTTATTGGGCCTTCTACCCGTATTGGCTCGAGTGGGCTCTGATGCGGGTCTTCTGCGCTTGGTGTCCTTGGGTCGTGGCCTGTGGTCTCGATAAAGACTGGGCCGACATAACTTAAGGGAGGCATTCGAGACTCAGAAGACCAGGAGGGAACCCAACGCACGAATTGCGACCACAAGGAATGCAGCCGCTGTGTCTGTTGGACCCTATGCCCGTTCGTAAGGTTCTTGCTGCTGGCATGACAGTTACAGGGGGAGAAGATGATGTCAACAGAATGAACGAGAGAGAAAGAGGGAAGAGACAAATAGACATAGAGGAAGACGGGACATTCGGGACTTGGGCGACCAAGGAGACCATGGTTACCGAGCATGTGACTCAGGGAACCGTCTCACAAGCTGCAGTCCATGCAAGCTCACAAGTTGTTGGGAGTAAGAGAGATCGTGTGGATGAGCAGGCATGAAATTGCCTGAACCAGCCAACATTTTGTCCCTCTCGAAGAGAAAGCCTCTCGAAGAGAAAGGTCTCATCTCAAAATCGTAAGGGAACAACTTATTTACTTCATAGTAAGCACTCACTAGTGCCGTCTTGAGTATGAGACTCACAAATATCAAGCCAAACCCGGACTAGCAGATATGCATGCTTGCTCTTAGTTTCAAGAGGACTGAATCAATTAATAATTTATTTATTTTCATGACCTTTCAAAATCAGTGAGTCTGTGATAGAGGAGAACAACCAACAGTGAAGTGGGAAAAGACAGGTGATCTGTTTGATTTCGAATAACCAGCTTGGTAGCTGCGTTCTACAACTCTGGTGGTTGGCCGAGTACCATCTGATTGGCTAAGTACCCACTGATTGGCAAAGTACCCCCTGAAAGAAATTTCTATCAAATTACTTAATTTGTAAGCATTTAAAGAACTTTATTCGTTAAGAAGGCAATCAAGCTCTCAATCCAGATCCATCCGTTATTTCTAATTGCTCTAAACCATACACACCTGAGCTAGTATACTTCCGAATACTTCCATCTCGACCAGAAAAGGACCTCGTCTCGCACAAAGGAGACTTTTGCTCATCCAATCACGCACGAAGCGACCCATATGCGAACAAGCGTCCGAGTTTGAGTCCCACACGGGGCTTAAAGCCTAATCCTATGTGCAAGTGGGGACTTCTCGCAGCATCGACGCTGATCAAATCAGACACAATGAAATGATGACGCACAAAAATCTAATCAAGCATGGAAAAACACTTGGGAAACAGACGTTTAGGATGGAAGAGCGGCGAAGAGGCTAATTAGGGGGCTAATCAAAAATGCGTACCAAACTCAACCATTCTTCAAAAGCCCGCTTGGATGATTGTAATACTGCGCATGAGTTTGGTGTATGACTGCACACACACACACACACACAAAGAGAGAGAGAGAGAGAGAGAGAGAGAGAGAGAGAGAGAACCTTGCTGAACAGATCAAATTTCCTCTGCATGGCTAAAGGGGAAACAACTCGTTCTTGAGCCAACTAAAACATGCACTGAAAGACAAAATATGTTCGTTGAAAATGAAATTAATTATTTTTCGTATGCGTTTTTGGTGTAGTTGTAACTAAACGTGATTAACTTTCACTGGGGAAGTGTGAACTCATATCAGATTTCCGAATTTGGACATCATTGCTAGTGGCACGACATCAGTTATTTATTTGAAGTAGAGGTAAATCGTTAGTTGTGAACTTGTGTGAACAGGATCGACAAGCCTTGTGAAATACAGACTGCTATCCAACTTCCAAATGTAAGAAGGTCATGTGAACCAGGGTTGTCAGGCGGGGGCCCCCAGGGGCAAAGCCGGGGTAGGGGTTCGACCCCCGAACCCCCGCCGCCGGGGTGCCCCACCCCCGCCCACCACAAAACACCCCCGCCGGCGCCCCGACGCCCGCACCTCCGGACCCGACACCCGCACCCCCGCTGACCCGGGCCCCGGACCCCC